TCGGCTGCGATCGGAGCGCGCCGGCCTTGGCCGAGGTCTTCCCGCAGAGCCTCCTCCCCCGCCCCCGTGGGAAAGGCAGCTGACGCGGCTGCTCCCACGATGTCATCGCGCCGCACGCGCGCTCCAGCCCGAGCGTGGGAAGTTCTTAGGAGAGAGTGGAACTGGCGGTGCGGAGGCCGCGTTGTGCCCGCCACCCTAGCAGAGCTGCACGTCGCCCCGTGTGGCTGCTCGAGGAGGACCTGGGACTGCAGTCGAGTCTAGCTGGGCAGTGGCCTTGAGCTGGCGCGAAGGGTGATGGAGTGAATAAAGCACTAATGCAAACCTGGGCAAGGACAGGCAGGTGGCAGGCCTGGAGCCCCTCGGTGACAGCGGGTGAGCACTGGTCAGTGAGTCTCATGAGTCCTTACCAGATAGTTAACATCTTAAGCTTCGGCTTCCCGCACGGTTTCCCTGCCCTCAGCTTTCAGAATTGCTTTGTCAAGGTCTGTCTGCTCCAATACAGGGAAAACTCTAAAGGTGGGAAGTACTGCTAGGCTGGTACTAGCAAGTACCTACACAGAGGGGGTGCTCAGGAGATATTTGATGAACAGTGACAACCGCTGGGACATTGCTTGAAAGGCAAACTTCCAGAGTCAGAAAAGATCGGATGCTGTTCTCCCCCCCCCCTTATTTTCGGAAATGGAAAGTTTTGGGGCAGTGCAATTACTGGATAAAGACCCTGCTGGGACCAGCTTTGAGGCTCTGAGGTGTAGTGAACTGCGAGTTCTCCACAGTCTGGGCTCTGTTCTTGCCTCCAGAAATTTGCACTTGCCTCCCCCAGCACTGGGTTACTGGTGCACATCCTTCACCTTTCAGGTTGGGCATGGCCAAGAGAAAACTCCTCAAGCTTCTCTAGAAGAATCATGTACTCCTCCAGTGTTCCCTCCCAGGCCTCTCCTTACCGTTTCTTGCATTTACTGCTCAACTGTAAAAAGCACTGTTCCTTTGCAAACTGCCCTCTTTCAGATGCTCAGCTCCTTGAAGTGGGGAGGGTGGGGCTGGGGGAGATCTCCAGTTCATCATTGCATACGCCTGACACACAATAAATAGTTAATGAATGAACAGACTACAGATTTATGGAATAGAATCCACAAAACTCAGTGACCAATTGGATGTGAAGTGGGAGAGGGAAGGAGGAGACTTAGATTATTTTTAACATAATGAGTTGGGTCAGCAATAGGTCCATTGGCCAGAATAAGGGACACCAGAGGAGGGACAGGTTGGGGAAGATGGCCAGATCATACAGTAGAGAAGCCTGAAATGGAGCCATGGTTCCTCTTCAGCTTGTAGTTTATCAGGGTTGACATCTTCATGTCATGGTGGTGTTCCCCATATATGGCAGGGGGAGTTCTGGGGCACAAGTATTTGCACGTCATAGCTAAACTGCAACTGAAATATTAGCCTTTTTATTTTTCTGGCTGGTTAATGGAGATTTCCTCTTCAAACTAACCTTTCAGGGCAAGACTTTAGATGATTTCTTTTGTTTCTCTCCATTTCCACCCCTTCTTATGTCCTTAGGAGCAAAGCCTTTTCCCCTGTCCCCCTAAAAAAGTCTGAAATGCAAAAGCCTTCAGGATCCTAAAAGCTGTGAATCCCACCAATGGCAGCATCCCTTGCAGCCCTCCTCCAGATTAGAAACCACTAGAGAGGTCTCTAACTCTAGTGTGGCTGGAGCATTGTTTTTCCTCTTGGATGTAGAGGTAAAAAACACAGGGTGGGCTCTGGCATTGAGTCCCACACTTGTCACTTCCTAGTTTTGTTACCAAACTCAAGAGGCTCACTGCTTGGGGTTTTCTATTCAAGAATGAGACGTGGTTGTCACAAAGTAGTTTTATTTATTTGCAGCAAGTTAGGAGTCAGTGAATTCACATCGGAAGCTCTGTCTCCCTGAAGGGAGGCTTAGCCATTGCTTATATACACTTCTTGGTCAATTACATTTTGACTGTTTCCTTGCAGTTGGCTACATTTGTCCAGTTAGCTACATTAATCAGATTTAGTTCCTGTCAAGCAGCTCAACCTCTTGTACAGCTGCATCGGCAACAACTGTGCTACAGTTTAACATTTAACAAGAATAACATTTAGTAATAACATTTAGAACTGCCTGGACCTTGAGACCCTGTCCAATCTAACAGTTTGTGACCTTGGACAAATGATTAGTCTCTCCATGAGGCAGTTTTCTTATATTTATTTATTTTTTAATATTTTTAATTGATTTTTGAGAAAGAGGAAGGGGGGGGAGAGAAAAACACCGATGCAAAAGAAAAACATGGATTGGCTGCCTCCCAGACCCAGCCTGCAACGTGGGCGTGTGCTCTGCCTCAGAATCGAACCCAACACCCTTCAGTGCATGGGACAGCGCCCAGCCAACTGAGCCAAACTGACCAGGGCCAGCTTTCTGACATTTACAATGAAGATAATAGTGGCTCCTCCCTCAGAGGGTTGTGTTAGGAGTATACCAGCCTATTCAGTGTACATGCTTTTGCCTAGTGCCTGGCATGAAATAAGTGCTTGGTAAGTGCTTGCTATCAATATTCCTCAACCATCCCTCCTTGTCCGCCATTCATTCATTCATTCATTCATTCATTCATTCATTCATTCATTCAACAGATATTTATTGAGCCTCCGTGTGCTGGATGCTAAGCACACCGGCGGAATCCTGACCGCCCCTGGCCCCCAAGGGCGCGGCTCAGGACGGGCAGAGGGGGAAGCGGGGCCAAGCTCCGTGCGCTCGGGCAGAGCTGGCACCGCGGAGAGCAGCCCCAAGAGCGACAGTCTCCAGGTCTAGGGGAGGGACAGTGTCAGATAAAGCTCCAAAGAGGAAGTTGCTCTTTTTAACCCCCAAACTGAAGCATATGAAAGCCTCTAACAGTTCATTGGAGCAAAAAGCAATTGGCATTGGGTAGCACCAAGCCAGACGTGGTTAGGAGCGCTTGCCTGTGGGACGCTCAGGGAGAGGCTTTCATAGGCAAAAGGCAGAAATAAGGACATGACCGATTGCCTATTGTACAAAGCCCAGTTGGCTGCTGGTGATTAGCTGTCCTTAGATTCTGATTTCCTAACCTCGAGGCATTTACCGGCTTAGATTCAGGTCTGCTTACCTATGCTCCATGGTATTAGAGCCACCTCGGCCTAATGGCTTTCTTTAATTAATTTAACAATCCCCCTTTTGGGCCAGCCTCATACACAATTGACTGACTAAATATTTGGAATTAGCGCTGCTCTGCTACCGCCAGAGTTGAGTTGCTCCCGCCTCGTTGTGAAGCTAACAGGTTTCGGTGTGAGGTCCGGGGAAGGGCTGTTTTCGATCATCTCATTACTCATCCTGTTTCTCCCTTTCCAAGCTCGCTGAGACGGTCCCTGTCCTGCTGGTGGCTGTGGACATTAAGCAGCTAACTGTCATCTAAGTTCTCTTTCCTGCTGACAAATTCTGAGAGAGAGAAAATGAGCTTTTTTGACTGTTGGTAAACTGAAGTAGAATAAAAGAATTATATTTAATGCCTGTTTTAATTAAAACAACAAACTTCAGCTTTTATTTACTGAAGTTAACCCTAGATCATGTGAACTTGAAAAACATGGGTTCTATATTTCTGAGAGTATACTTGATTTATACAAATGCTTCTTTGTCTGTAAGCCTATTAAATAGAGGTTTTCACAAATTCACTTTAGCAGCACCATCCAGAGGTAGGAAAATATAACACACCTGTAACATGCATACATAGACATACACACAGATGCAGAGGTTCTACAGCTTTCATTTTAAAATTTTACCCATGAGACCGATACGATCATGCAAAACTCATTAGTTATAGAAGAATGGTTGGATCCCAATTGTGTTTCTGGCAGGTGGAATAAGTTAAGGTTATCTGCTCAGACAGCTAAAGCTTTCATTAATGTTTGTGGGGAAAACTTTTAAGATTTTTCATTCACCTAATTTCCAAATAGCTTTTTATTTTCCCTGATAAGAAGGACTTCCCTGAAATTTGCATTTCAAAAGATGGCTTTGGGTTTCTAGAGAAAACCAGGCAGAACATTTACGCCTCAGAGGTACAGAGAAAGGATGTTAAGTTTCTCCAAGAAGGGCTTTTATTCCCTAAATTCAGTTATTTTACAATATCTGCAAGACTTTTGAGATGAGTAGGGGAGGTGTTAGAATCGGTAAAGAGGACAGGTGGCTCTGAATTGTTTCCAGAGCTGCATTTCTGTTCCCATAGAGACTAAATTTGTAAGACATACGGTTGTTACAATTCCTCAGG